CCAGCAAATAACAAGAGCTAGCAGTAGCTCTAGTACTAACCATAGTTTTGAAATAGTGATGAACATAAATGAACTTTTGAGATATGGGCAACAGCTGTAATGTGATGTGAAAAAATTTTTGATATGTATTGATGACAAAGTCTCAGATACTGCTAATAAGACTGTGGTTTGTTGACTATATTCAGTTAGAAATTGATAAAAATAAAGGCATAATTTTTCCCATCAAAGTCCACAGTCCTCCTGAATTCTATCCACAGGACCCAAGGGATCCTTGCTCCACAGACTCCATTAATAGGCATAAGAGATGTAAAAAATAATATTTCACTGGTGAAATGAATTGTGTTCAAAATACGTGGAGTGGCTAGAAATATTGCCTAGGTCCTACCACCCTTGCATGAAGAGAGTGTAAACATCTGGCAAGTCAGCCCAACAGCTCCTCACTATTTGGAGCTGCATTCTCCACCCCAGACTCTGTGGAGTCCTCTATCCCGCTATGTGGTAGCCGGCCTGCCAGATGGTCTGCAGTGATTCCTTCCTTGTGTAGTTCCTTCACACATTGAATGGGGACAACTGTGTAACCACTAGGATATTATGGAAATGCCAGAGTGTGACTTCCAAGGCTAGGTCAGAAAAGATACTGCAGCTTCTGTCTTGCTCTATCTTGGATCATTGCCCTGAACTTGCACATTCTTATAGCATATGGTAAGGAACTGAGATCTCCTGCCAACACCTAACACTAACTTGTTAGGCATACGGGTGAACCACTTTGGAAGCAGATACCCCAGCCCACTCAAGCCTTTAGATGACTACCACCCTAGCCATCATCTTGACTGCAAACCTCATGAGAGGCTCTCAGTCAGAATCACCCAACTGAGATGCTTCCAGATTCATGATACATAGAAACTATGTGGGATAATAAATGTTTGTTGATTCAAGGCACTAAATTTTGGGGGGTAATTTGTAGCACAGCAATAGTTAACTAATATATACCACTCGGTAGAAGATTTTCCTGCTTCACCCAGAAGATAGACAGATCCTGTTACCTACCATTTGATGAGGCTATCTGTTTCAGGTAAATCTTTCACGGAAGGAACTTGCTAGAGTTCCTAAAGGTCAGAGAGCAAGTCCTGCCTGTTTTGGTCCCTAACTGCTAATAACTGTATGTGTCATAGAATTCAATCTGGCAGTTACCTTCATTGCAATATACTGTAGTAAGGAGGTTGTAGGGGAGGTGATCTACAGCCCTCACCTACCTCAGATCTTCAGGGGCTACCTAAATATACCCGAAACACTAGGTTTAGGTCCATTCGAAACACATTTGCAAAGGCCTGCAAGGCCCTAGAGAATCTGACTTTTATTTCCCTCTCTGACCTCAACTCTTTTTTAAGATTTTATTTATTTATTTGAGAGAGAGAGAGCATGAGCGGGGAGGAGAGGGAGAGGCAGACTCCCTACTGAGCAGGGAGCCCGACGCAGGGCTCAATCCCAGGACCCTGGGATCATGACCTGAGCCAAAGGCAGTCGATTAACCGAGTCACCCAGGCGCCCCCTGACCTCAACTCTTACCACCTATTCCCGATGTTTCTCAGCAGCACTCACTGTATCAGTTTGCTAGGACTGCCACAAGCAAGTGTGATGAGTGGCTTAACCAGCAGAAACGGGTTGGCTTATGCTTCGGGAGGCTACATGTTTGAGATCAAGATGTCGGCAGGGCGTCTCCTTCTGAGGGCTGTGAAAAAGAATCTGTTCCATGCCTGGTCTGTCCCCCTAGCTTCTGGGGGCTCGGTGGGGGGGGCAACCTTGGGTATTCCTTGGCTTATTGAAGCATTGCCCTGATCTCTGCCTTCATCTTTATATGGTGTTCTCCGTGTGTGCATGTCTGTGTTTGGATTTCCCCCTTTTTGTAAGGACAGTAATCACATGGGATTAAAAACCCACTCTACTCCAGTACCACTTCGTCTTCACTACATTAAATAAGGTCACATGCTGGGGTACTGGGGGTTATGCCTTCAACATATGAATTTTTTGACACGATTCAACTCATAACATTGGCCTTCTTTCTGTTCGTCTAGCATACCAAGCTCATTTTCTCCTCGGGTACTTTATACATATTAGTCCTTCTGTCTAGAACCCCAAAGAAGCATGACTCTTCCCTTCTCAGCATGCAAGTGTCATCCCCACAAAAAGGCCTTCCCTGATCACTCTATCTAAAATAGCCCCTCCACCACACACACACATCATTCTCTATTCCCTTATCTGTTTCAATTTTTGTTAGTGATAAGGAAAATCTGTGTCCTAAGATGGCCGACCGAGCCAGCGAGAGAGTCCCAGTCCTTGCCCTGGGGCTCTTCCAGGTTCTTCTCCCTGCCCCGCTTCGCACACGTGCCAAAAGTGCCAAGTATGCGGAAGTAGAATTATATAAATTGCCCCCTTTGTGCTCGGGGCTCAGACCTTTGGAGACCACTCTCCTCTGAGCCCGCCGGCATTAAATAAACCTCCTATCCTTCAAGATCTTCGAGTGCGCTTGGTTCTTCCGTCGGGTGATCCAGTCCAGGTTCCGTAACAATAGCACCCTTCACTACATGAAATAGATTTATTTTTACCTTTTTAAAAATCTGTCCCTCCCACCAGAATATAAGTTCCATGAGGACAAGGAGCTTGTTCAGCTTATTATTCACCTAACACAGTATCTGTTAGGGAGCAAATATTTAATAAATGTTCGTTGAATGAACGTTGGATGAGCAAATGCTTACTTTGAGATTGTCTGATATAGTCCCTGGAAAGCCCAGGAGAATCAAGTTTTCCCTAAGAAAATGGAAATTATCCCGGGGTAATCCTCAGATATTCACACACTACCCCCCACTTGGAAATGAACTAATCTTCTGTAAGAGATCAACTATAAAACAATAAAATAATATTACTCCTCGCTCCCAGAGTTACTTAGCTGTTTTCTCTCTGCTTGGACTACCGGGAAACAACCTGAAGGCAGCAAAAATTCAGAGTGAAGAAAGGTCATTTTCAAGGCAGAGGCACATTTTCAATCTTTCCTCAAAGATTGCCCACTTTCTGCTCTTTCTCCAGCCTGGCTAGTTCTTTGCAGGGCCAGTAGGCACCCATTTATGGGTGTGGCTGGGCTGCTCATTAGGAAAAAAGGGGATTCCTTTCATTGGATCAACTTGCTCAGAAAAGACCAAGGAACTAAGCTGACTTCTAATTGAGATACCTAAATGTAAGAGTCTTAAGTCAGAGCAATGGCTATAGTTTGTTCTTCAAAGCTTTTTAAAAAGAATTGTACATTTTGAGTTCTGACCTGCGAAGTTTGAAACTAATGACCTCCCACCTGCCTCCCTGCTCTGAGCTGTATGAGCTATGACAGGTGTTAAGATAAAGTGATATTTAAACAAAGTCTCTTGGGAGTTTTTGACCATTGCTTGTTTTCATATTTCCTTAATGGTCATAAGAGGACTCTAACCTGAATCTTTGATGTTTATTCACCTAAACTTATATTTTTCCTGTAATAAAAAAGGGGATTGTTTGTGGTTTGTGATCTGGGAAGATTCAAGCAAGAGGGGAAGAATGTTTAGTTTCTAAACTATTTCTTAAAAGACAAATTTCGTCAAATAATGGAGAAGGAATTTAATTAAACCATTTTGTGAGATCAGTTCCCAGCTTTTTTCCGTTTAATCTTTTTCCAAAACTGCTTGAGTCAATGGTTGTTTGAGCCCTTGTGGGTTGCAGACCCGTTAAAGCAATACTTCTCAAACTTAATGTGCACACGAACCACCTGGTGATCCTATTAAAATGAAAATTCTGATTCCGTAGGTCTGGACAGGGCATTATAAAGTAGATCAAGTGGGTCTTCAAGCTTCCCCTGTTAGGTACGCGCTTATGCCTCAACCCACCTCCAAAGACCCAAGGCATCCGTTTTCTATTTTTTTTTTTAAGATTTTATTTTTTTATTTATTCATTTGCGAGAGCGAGAATGAGAGAGAGAGAGAGAGCACATGAGAGGGGGGAGGGTCAGAGGGAGAAGCAGACTCCCTGAGCAGGGAGCCCGATGCGGGACTCAATCCCGGGACTCCAGGATCATGACCTGAGCCGAAGGCAGTCGCTTAACCAACTGAGCCACCCAGGCGCCCGGCATCCGTTTTCTAAAGCTCTCTGCTACAGTACCCCATTTTAACTACCACTTTTTTTTTGCCAGAAGCCCCAGCTACAGATGTTTCTGTTTTTACCGCGCCTTCAAATTTACCTATTTTAGGTCCCTTTCTCTCTGGACCCTGCCATCTGTGAAAATATAATGGATAGCAGGTGATAGTGGATTGATTAGTTACTTTTCTCTCTCTCTCTCTCGAGCAGAAGACCAACCCCACCCACTCCTCCACCAGCACAAGGTAGCAATGGAGTTTAACCAATGGTAAGAATTTCCTGCCCTATAACAGACTAATTAAAATGCTATTTTTTTAGTGGGGTGGGGAGGAACAATATAATTTTGAATTTCTCAAAATATTATACACCATAAGAGACTACCTACCTGACCTACTTATACTTTCTGTTCTACCTCTCATTTGCGCTGGTCTCATTAAAAACAACATTGTCTAATTTTAGAAGTGGAACCATGAAACTGTCAAATGACCAGTTATTTCATGTTTATGTACAAAGGAGTTGCAGTTCCAAAGCAAGTGAATCAAGAGATCTAGACATGGGGCGCCTGGGTGGCTCAGTCGTTAAGCGTCTGCCTTCGGCTCAGGTCATGATTCCAGGGTCCTGGGATCGAGCCCCGCATCGGGCTCCCTGCTCTGCGGGGAGTCTGCTTCTCCTTCTCCCTCTGCCCCTCCCCCTGCTTGGGCTCTCTCTTTTTCTCTCTCAAACAAATAAATAAAATCTTTAAAAAAAAAAAAGAGAGATCTAGACATGATAGTACATTGCTTGGTATTTACTGAAGCTTAAAGAATCTTGATATTGGTGGCCTGGGGACTGTGGTGGGGACTCGGGCTGACATGTCAGCTCTGACGCTGCTGGCATCTTTCCTCTACGTTGGAGGCCATTTCTTGAGAGGTGGCTCCCCGGCAGCTAGATGCAGTGGAGTCCATCTTGCTGGCGGTGGTGTGCATATCGAGCCGTGGTATACAGTTTCCCCAGCTGACCAGGTCCCAGGTGACCGCAGCAGAGTTCTTCAGTATGACCATGTGGTTTTGGATTCCCTGGCATTTTTGGCATGACTCGGATGCTGTACTGGGTCACTTTCCATATCCAGATCCTTCCCTGTGGACTGATGAAGAACTGGGTATCCTTTCTGATGATGAAGACCGAAAGTGTAGCCTGAACTCTTTACAAGAGCCAGGTGAGAATTTCAAGCAATTGCAGACTTCATATAGTACATGAAAGTTGTAAATTAAAGTATTTTGGTTAACAGCAAGGGGTAAAAAAAGAATCCTGATACTGTTTGACCAGTATTTCACCCAATAATTTTTCTTTAATTTCTTCATTTTTGATAGAATTGAAACTATTTAAAATTATTGATTTAGGCCTTCAACCCACAGCACAAAGTATTTTATATGGCTTATTATCTCTCTTTTTAAATTTTTAAAAAAGATTTTATTTACTTATTTATTTGAGAGAGAGAGAGCGCGCATGAGAGAGTGAGAGAGCAAGAGAGCCCACAGAGGGAGAAGCAGACTTCTCGCTGAGTAGAAAGTCCAATGCAGGGCTCGATCCCAGGAGCCTGGGATCATGACCTGGGCCAAAGGTAGACACTTAACTGACTGAGCCACCCAGGTGCCTCTATATGGTTTATTCTCATGCCCATTTATAGGAACAAAAATGGGCTCCTCAAGAGATAAATTTGCATACTAGAGATGTAAATGATTGTCTGCTCTACTTAATGCCATACCTATACTCTAGTGTTTTCATATCCTCCTCCTGCTTGAGTGGCATGTCCTGCACTAATAGTCACACGAACTGATTGGATGATAACATAACCCAAGGATAGGCAATCCCGTCCAATAGAATGGCCAGCGACCACACACATCTGGCCTGTAGCATAAGAAAGCCTCAGCCAATCAAATTCTATTCTCAGGAACATTGGTGAGAGAACAGAGACGGTATAGAGATGAGAGGGAAAGTAATCCATAGAAATAACAGAGAAAATGCACCTGAAACTAGCCCTCTTTATTCTTGAAGTACATTTAGTTGGTTTTTGTTCTTTGAATCACAAGGGTGAGAAAATAAGCAATAATGAAGGAAAAAACACTGGAGCCTAGAGGGATAAATGAATAGTAGATTATGAAGTCAGTGGCTTCCACATAAATATAACATTAAAGCCACTCCTTCCATCCCTCCTGCTACACTGTGACCTCCTTGAAGGAAAAGACTATGTCTCATTCATCTCTGACTTCCTTATACCTTGTTTATGACAAGTATTCAATAAATATCAAATATAAAATTCAATTTTTCTATGATGAATGAAAGTCACCAAAATTGGATAGCATAGTTTGGTTGATCGCAATCTTTTCATCACTTAGGACTTCTTTCCTTATATTTCTCTCTATAGACCTTATAGTTTGAAAAATATTGTCTAACCTGCATTAAGTAATAATGATTTTTAAAAGATTTTTATTTAGGGGTGCCCAGATGGCTCAGTCGGTTAAGTGTCTGCCTTTGGCTCAGGTCATGATCCCAGGGTCCTGGGATCAAGTCCTGCATTGGGCTTCCTGCTCAGTGGGCAGCCTGCTTCTCCCCCTGCCCATGTTCGTGCTTTCTCTCTCTCTCTCAAATAAATAAAATCTTTAAAAAAATTAAAGAAAAGTTTTTATTTATTTATTTTGGAGAGAGAGAGCACAAGAGAGCACACGAGTGCATGCAGGTGGGGGGAAGGGGCAGAGTGAGAGCGAGAGCAAGAGAGAGAGAGAATCTCAAACAGACTCCCTGCTGAGCGTGGAGCCCAACACAGGGCTTGATCTCACGACCCTGAGATCATGACCTGAGCTGAAATCAAGAGTTGGAGGCTTGAGCAACTGAGCTACCCAGGCATCCCAACAATAATTTTTAATAAGGTGGCCACAAACTTCATTAACTTTCACATTGTAACATCCAAAGAATGTCCAGATTAGATATTAGAATTTTAAAAAATTGAGCTAGGTTCTTGGATACAAAATAAATATATCAGTTGAATCCTATATAGGTGACAAACAGATAAAAGTGAAATCTAAAACATCATTCAAATTGTCAGGCAATAATAAATATAAATTTTTTTAAAGATTTTATTTATTTATTTGATAGAGCACAAGGAGGGGGAGTGGCAGGCAGAGGGGGAGGGAGAAGCAGGCTCCCCACTGAGCAAGGAGCCCAATGTGGGGCTCGATCCCAGGACCCTGGGATCATGACCTGGGCCGAAGGCAGACGCTTAACTGACTGAGCCACCCAGGCGCCCCAATAAATATAAATTTTTAAGAATACACAGAAAAATATGCAAGACTTCTATGGTTAAATAATACTTTATAGAGAGACATTACATTTTAAAATACCAAATGCTGTGTCCCAGCCCTAGGGTTTAAATTTGCTCTGTTCACATTCCCTCCCAGAACAGATGTGTATGATCATCCTCACTACCCTAATAAATATCTAAGGCTTATAGGTGTTGAGAACAGAATAGTCCATGGGGCGCCTGGGTGGCTCAGTCGGTGAAGCATCTGCCTTCGGCTCAGGTCAACATCTCAGGGTCCTGGAATGGAGCCCTGCATTGGGCTCCCTGCTCAGTGGGGAGTCTGTCTCTCCCTCTCCCTCTGCCACTGACCCCCACTCATGCTCGCTCGCCCGCTCTCTCTCTCAAATAAATAAATAAATCTTAAAAAAAAAAAAAAAAAGAACTGAAGAGTCCAGGATTTTACCTTATTTACAGGCTAATAAGTGAGATGGCATGTGTCATGGATGCTGGCAAAGACCCGAGACTCGTGGCTCAGAGACACTGGACTTTATTACCCATGGCACAGCAAGTAGCACGAGCTTCATGTTGGTTTGTGTGGGTGCCCCATGCCTCTCAAGTCGCACAGGGGAGGTGTAAACAGGGTAGGGTAGGGCCAGGCAGATGCTATGCTCGGAATGGGTTTGCTTTGCGGCCAAGGAACACTCAGCTTGGGGGATTCGCTGATTTGCAGCAAGCGGAAGAAAGCCCGCTTTTTGTCTGTGGAGAGGTATTACCTCATCCCGCAAGGCTGCTCCCTGTGAATCTGACTCGGAGAAATGGCTTGGGCAAAGAGCAGGTCGGGACCTTGCCTCCTTGGCATATCCAGCAAGATTTGTAGGAGCATAAGGGATTCTTGGAGGAGGAGCTCCAACAAGTGGTGTTTGTGGGTATTGTGGGGAGATATCTGCCTGGAATATGGGTGGTTGGTGACAGGGAGAAATATTGTTTTTCCTTTTTTCTCAACAGAGGTATAATTGACATAGATTCCTTTCTGGTGTGCACATGATGATTTGATGCTTGTATACATTGTGAAATGATGGTAGAGACTGGTAATGGTTGTACAGTATTGGGAATGTACTACCTGCCACTAAGCTGTACATTTTAAAATGGTTCAAATGGCAAATTTTAGGTTATGTGTATTTTACCACAATTAAAAAAAATCTTCCTGAGGTCCAGGCATTGCTGCCTCCCACAGGATGGTCGGCTGGTAAAGCACTGGGCAGAATGGAATCATGTTCCTGCCCCTGTGCAGACCGGAAGACCAATGGGCACCGGTTCTAGGTGCGGGTTTTGCCTTTTGGTGTGGCTCTTAGCGCCCTTGATTAGCGATAGGTGGGGGGACAGCTTTCTAGGACTGAGCCCCAGAGCATCTGGGCCACTTTTCCCTAACATATCCAGCAATTCTTTTCCTTGTCTCACCACCCCCCTGCAAATCCACCCTGGGTTTCAAGATGCCTCCTCTCTATCCCAAACCCAGTTCTATTATCTTTTCTTTTTTTTAAAGATTTTATTTATTTATTTGAGAGATAATGACAGAGATAGTGACAGAGATAGCAAGAGCAGAGAGGAGAGGGAGAAGCAGGCTCCCTGCTGAGCAGGGAGCCTAATGTGCGGGGCTTGATCCCAGGGCCTGGGATCCTGACCTGAGCTGAAGGCAGATGCCCAACCGACTGAGCCACCAGGCACCCCCAGTTCTATTTTCTTTTTTTTTTTTTTTTAAGATTTGTTTATTTTTTATTAGAGAGAGAGTACAAGCAGGGGAAGTGGCAGGCAGAAGGAGAGGGAGAAGCATGTGGGGCTCGATCCCAAGACCCTGGGATCATGACCTGAGCCGAAGGCAGACGCTTAACCGTCTGAGCCACCCAGGCGCCTTCCCAGTTCTATTTTCTTTACCAAGAAAATCAAGGTTTCCTTTCTGATATAATCCATGGTGAAGAGCCTGAAACCAGAGTCCCAACTTTTAACAATCAAAAATCCTTTTCCTGACAGCAGGAAAAGCTCAGTTTTCAAAATTTAGGTAATCTCATCTCGTGCTCTCTGGAAGGGAGGGCAAATATTTGCATCCTGTTTTGGGAGGGTTCCCTTACCCCAAGAATGGGCTAAATCTTTCTTTCTTTCTTTTTTTTAATCAGAGAGAGAGAGAGAGAGCCCAAGCAGGGGGAGTGGCAGGCGGAGGGAGAAGCAGGTTCCCTGATGAGCAAGGAGCCCGATGTGGGACTTGATCCCAGGACCTTAGGATCATGACCTGAGCTGAAGGCAGACACTTAACTGGCTGAGCCACCCAGGTGCCTAATGTTTCTAATACAACAAAGGAAAACTTTTTTTTTTTATAAAGCAGTTACCTTTCTTTATTAAAAAGGCCAATCATTTATATCCTGCTTTGCTTGCAACCAAAATAGTTCTAACTCATTTCCCCTACAGCACATGTTAATAGTAGGAACTGTAGACTCTCAAACTTGAGCTCTGAAAACTTGAGGCTTTATCTTGTTAGGCTGAGTAGGAAGTTCAGAGCCACTGAATACAGTCACAGAAAAGTCATTTCTTGCCATCTGTATTACTTTCCTATAGCTGCAGTAACAAAGTCCTGCAAACTGCTGGCTTACCCTTTTGGATGTTAGAAATCTGCAGTGGGTCTCACTAAGCTAAAATCAAGGTATTGTCAGGGCTGCATTCCTTTCTGTAGGTTCTAGGGGAGAACCCATGTCCTTGCCTTTCCCAGCTTCTAGAGGCTGCTTACATTCCTTGGCTCTTGGCCCCTTTCCTCCATTGTCAAAGCCAGCAATGGAGGATCATGTTCTCACATTATATCATTCTGACGTATTCTGCCTCCTTCCACTTTTAAGGGTCCTTGTGATTACATCAGGCTCATTGCATAATCCAGAATAACCTCCCTGTTTTTTTTTTTTTAAAGATTTTATTTATTTATTTGACAGAGAGAGACACAGC